AAGTATATCTGTAATATACTCAGCCACCTTGATACCGAAAGCTGACTATGCTTAGTGTTTAGAAATGTAAGTACAAAATTCTTCCTATAGTTGTTGAATTTGGGTTAAATATTGTTTTCAACCCATTGTCAAAATGGGTCTTGGTTTGGATTTGATGGCGTCTACGTATTTTTCAACTGTGTTCAAGAGTAATAGTGCGTCTTCATTGCATGTGCTGCTATGGCGACCGCTGCTCTTTTTGTTTTTATTTTCACTAGCAGACATTTTTAATGTATTTACATAATAACAATTTAAAATAATATTTTTATATTCTTTTTATTAAAGTATAATGACTGTCTTGACGGTGATTTCAATATAAATATGAAGAAGGAAAAGTGTTTTGTGACGTCTTGAAACACGTACATAGGGCAAGATTTGAAAACCAATCCGACGACAAACATCAATGGAGACAGTTTTTGCAACCCATGATTTGAAATGTTGTGGCCTTTAAAGGAGAGAAAGAAAAAGCATTTGACCAATGGGTAACTAGTGATCGTAGTGATCACGACTTTTATTTTAGTTTTTCTTTGTCCTCTACAGTCTCTCTCTTCTTTATGATGCTTTAGCAGTCTTTTTCTTTCTAGCAGCAGCACTTGATACATATATCTTTCGCTGGAACGTGTAAACACTCCAAACAAGCATATTAGGAGAATAAATATTGAACATAAATTAACATCTAATTAAACATGTAACATAAAAATATTATAAACAATTAAAACATTAGGGCCTTAAAACTATTAGAACTTAGAAAAGGTATAAAAATATCAAAAACATAAACAAAAAGTTAATAGAAAGTGATTCAGTTTGCTGAACTTGTAGTAGCTCACGAGCCCTCCAACTTCTCTCGTAGATGTTTTCTTCAAATCCCCAGGTGCTTCTGCGTTGAATATAATTCAGGTAAGGAAGGTACTTAAGTCTGTAGAGGTAGGCGGCAAGACAGTCAGGATCGGTTGCCAATCAAATTCCGTCTTGTATGATTGTTACCAATGTGTTCGTCTAGGTTCATTGCATGTCTCGCCAAAACTACAGCTGTCAATGTAAGGGTAATTGCTTTCAGGGGAGTTGGAGGGTATCCTCCCCTAGAAAGAACTTGGCTTAATATTCTCTTGGCATGATATAGCTATTTTCTCCTGACTCTTACCTGATAGAGGTTGCTATATAGCCTGGCATGAAGAAGGATTTTTCTTCTCAGGAAGAGTAAGATCGAATTTTTAGTTTTCGGAGGGAAACTTTTCGAAGAATGAACGAAGCGAAAGAGCTTTACTTTGACTAACCACCATTTAATGAAAAGCTTAGTTTTAAATAAATCTGTAATTTTAAATAAACTATAGAATTAAATAAAATATCAATTATCAGAACATTTTCCTAAACATTTGAAATATTTTGGCCTAAGCCGTTATTAACAATCACATTAAAGAAGTATTTGAATTCTTTAAGAATTGTAGCTCAACTCTAAATTTTCATTCAGCACAATTATTACATCAATTAAATTTAACGAAATCGATTGTAATGTTATTATTATTATGATTAATAATTTTAAACTGTATAATTTATCATCTGTATCAATGAGGTTTGAAATTGAAACACATATAAGAATTTGATATAATAATGTGATTTCAGCTTAAAAATATAATTAGAAATTATAACTTTGTTTCAGGATTTTATGTGATTATGATTGAAACTAATGTACTGATATTTAGGCTGTGATATAGACTTGCGAAATAAAGAACTAAATTAAATTCACATGTCATGTTTAGTACAGAACTGAGAAATCATTCAATAGTCTTTAATAATATATTAACAAAATATTTTCGCAGCAATTTTATTTATTATTATTGAGCACAACATTGTTAAATGTGGTTTTATAATTAACTCAATTTTTTCCAACCAAACTTTTTTTTATTCACTTTTTCAAAAATCTTGATCCTGAAGCTTTACTTTATAAAACTTAATTTTTTCTTCACAAATGAACTTTTCAAAAATTTATTATCTTCCAGAAAAATCCACTTTAACTATAAAATAAGTAAATATAGTTGTTTGGTTTTTGTCATACGAAATGAAGAAATGTTAATCAATTTGCTCAATCCAAACAATTTTTTAAATTTCCTTGATACAAAAAAAANGAGAAATCATTCTATAGTCTTTAATAATATATCAACAAAATATTTTCGCAGCAATTTTATTTATTATTATTGAGCACAACATTGTTAAATATGATTTTATAATTAACTCAATTTTTTTCCAACCAAACTTTTTTTTAATTCACTTTTTCATAAATCTTGATCCTGAAGCTTTACTTTATAAAACTTAGTTTTTTTTCACAAATAAATTTTTCAAAAATTTATTAGCTTCCAGAAAAATCCCCTTTAACTATAAAATAAGTTAAATATAGTTGTTTGGTTTCTGTCATAGGAAATGAAGAAATGTTAATCAGTTTGCTCAATCCAAAATTTTTTTTAAATTTCTTTGAAATTATATTATGTACAAAAAAAAAAACAATTATGTGCAAAAACCTTTTTTTACACATAGAGTATTCAATGAACAACGCCCGTAAACTACATTTTTAAAATTCTTTCAAAAGTAAACTTGAACTATTAGTCATGCTCCATGTCACAAAATAACATTAAAGTATTATAAAAATTGCACCAATAATTTATGAGGTAGGAAACATTCAAAACATTGAAAAAAGTCTGAATAGCAGAATTAAAAGAAAGTAGTTTAAAGCCCAATTAGAAATATTTCTCAAGAAATACTTTAGTGGTGTTTAGGTCATTGAATTTCTCATACTTAAAAAAAGTTTTAAAGCTTTCAAAGGTTTAAGAGACAGGCAATGCAACATTAAACCATTGAGCGCAATAAGTTTTCAATTCACTTAAAAGTTCACTGGAAAGTTCTCGAGATATGGCGAAATACGTAAAAAGTAAAATTAACATTAAGGGGTTCAAACATTGCATCGCTTTCCTGACCAAACTATTGGGACAATATTTCCCAGATTGCGGCTACCCCTATATACTGGGGATCAAAAATCCGAATCCGCCGAAAAAAAAAGTTTTTCAGAGTAAGTGCGTTTTAGTGTCTGATTTCTTAACTTAAAAATATTGTCTGTTATAACGAATTGGCATGTTTGAGGTCACCCTCTCGAACCATTAAGATTGCGTCCTAGAACGTAAACATCCGAGCATTAGATCAAAAGTTATTTTTAGATTTTTTGTTTACTGAGCACTGTACACTAGAATTTGATTTTTCTTTTCTTTTTGAAATTTCGATTTTAATGCCATTACTTGAACCTCCTTTGGGCAGTGCTTCATTTATAAATTCAATCTCTGCTTTATTTTTCTCTTCACTTTTAAACTGTAGAAGACTTTTTTCTTTATTTGTAAATTATGAAAAAATTATTAATCTGTTTGCGTAAACAGTTAATTCACTAAAATGGGACATTCTCAATTAATTCCCCAGTTTTAATAGTCATTTATATCATTATTAATCATACACAATTATAATAAAGGAGAGTTTGATTAGAAATTTAAAAGTCTTTGCTGCAATACTTAGAGAATTTTTATTGACAAAACCCGAAAACATGACAGAATTTTCAAGTCACTTTTTTTGGAGTAAAATGCATTTTTATTTAAAAGGGAAAAATATTGACTTAATATCTACAAGATAAAAGATTCTCTAATCGCTAACACCAATGACAGGAAAAAATATCATTTTTCTTTTTTTTCTTTTCCACAAAAAGTTTAAAACTAAAAATTGTTGTTCTTTCATTATAAAGCATTTGCATAATATTCTCGGATCATATAAAAATTTATGACGAAGTTATTTATCTACCATTTTACAATTATAAAATGAAATAATTATTAAATTTCACTTGCATTCTAAAATGTAATACTCAATTGTTCAATGAGTTTTACTATTATAATTATAAAGCGGTGTATAATGAACATTTCAACTAAAATAATTACTATTAAATAGCGACTAAAAACTCTCTTAAGCATTTATAAATATTGACTTTTCTCATTATTGCTAAATAATCTCTGTGCCTGCCTCGAAAAATATATAAAGAATTTCATAATAACTGAAAATTAAATAAAATTTAAAGAAAAATTGTAAATGGTCATCGAGCAGAATCATTAAGTTTAATTAATCAATATAGAATTGGAAACAAAGTCTCTGTTAAACAATAAAAAAAATTTGAAATCTTTTAAGTAAACAGTTAACTTTATTGTAATAATCGTTTCATTCTTATGGATTAAAAGTTATTGTGAAATTATTAATTTTAATTAGTGGGTGAGTAGGAAAAGAAGTTCGCTGCTCGAAATACATTTAATGAAAGTTATGAAAATATTACAGTGGTTGTGGAGGTAATAAACTATAATTTTTTTTTATCTTAGTTTTATTACGACCTTTTGAAAAACGTTTAAAAACACAATGTGACAGAGACAAATGATTATGTCGACGCTATTACAAAAAATACGCTTTACATTTCATTTAATGCAGAATTTGACATTAAATCAGAAATAACGAATAAATGAATAATAATTCCATATCTAACTTTGCGAATGACACACCGAAAACAAAACAAAAACATGAACGCACAGCTGTTTGGCGATTGTCGAGAACGCTCCTTTAACGCCAATGGAAATTTTCGCCAACTGTGTTCCATCCCTGATATAGGGTCTGCTTGTACGCGAACGGTACCCATGAGAAAAATGCTCAGAAAGTCGAGTCATGTTTAACTCAATTTTATAGAGTGAATATTAGATTATTATTATTTTGTTTTAAGCTGTCGAGAACGAATAATTTTACGAGAACTGAACGAACAAAAAATTTTAAAGCTTGGATCTTAAATCCAAGATAATGTATACTTTACTTTTTGCTGAATTATTCTATTTCATACGAGAATAAGAGATGGATGAGAAAGCGTTTTTCCCTAAAAATCACTTCCGCCTACGCAGGTTTCACTCTCCCACTAAAGGTAGAATAAAAACGAGGTAAATCAGTTTTCTATTAGAGAACCTTCGGTGTATTTGGCGAGTAATGACAGGTGTGTTTTTTCAATAAGATTTCCTCCATCATTCATTCAGGTTGGGGAAAAAACTTCGTGGCGAAAAGTACAAGACAGCGTTCGATTCTTATTGACGTTATTTTTAATTATTCCGTTTACAGAAGGTATATTTCTCTGGCAAGATCCTTTCTTAGCTAGAACAAGGGTTGAATATTTGAAAAGGAGTATTTTATGCTGTGTCCATTTTCTCAAACACGCATTTCGAGCTGTATCTGGAATAAAAATCTTACCGGCAAGATAGTAGACAAGGGCATCATTCAGGATTACAGCGAAATTCGAACCTGCTACCTCCACAGCGCTTTCGGAGAGAGATCTCTTGGTAAGGAGGCCCTTCTCAAAATTGAATTTTATCAACTTTTGAGTTTAAATCACTCGTTTGTATCCGATTGATGTCACGCAGTGGACTGATCGTTAAGACACGGTTCCCAGCAGATCACCGAAGTCAAGCATCACTGGCTGCGGTCAGTGTGCGGGTGGGTGACCACTTGGATGAGTCTGTGTAGGGGTGTGATTTATGGGTCCACGTTAAACTGCTCTACCGTAAAGTGCTCGACTTCGCGTGCAGGTCGTCGGGCTACCGAAGCGGGGGTGCCACCCCCTCTGCAGAGGATCAAAATTGTGATGGCATGTCTTCGGATCATCCTCCGGGATGTTTCACAGACCGTCGCCAATAGCCCATTGCGCAGCTCTAGTGTGACGTAAATGAACTGCAACAGCAACATGAAACCGATTGATCATTTTGTGATAGCTAAGTTTCCAAACTTTTGTTGACACTAAACTGTTTATTTTAAACTCTATCCATTTTATTTATAGGACCGCCATGACTTCTTCTAAATATTACAGATTTTTCTTCGTCGCTTTTACAACAGTATGTTTGTATATCGCATACTTTGGATTTTCAGGTAAGCTATCATCTTTTGAAACTTACAATTTATTTGATTATTTTTTTGGGAAGCAAAATTCTAGAAAACCATTTTTTGAACATTATGCCTATTATGTATAACCAGAATTGAAGTATTAATGTTCTATTATGATTCATATGAGGTATGTGTCTTTAAGTTTTAAACCTTAAATAACGAAATCATCTGAGTGTAGAAATAATAAATAGTTTGAATTAGAAATCAGGATAATTAAAAACTCAAATGACCTGTCATCGAAATCTTGTATTTTAAGGTATCCGACAAGTTTTGATAACTTTTTTTGAAAAATATTTATATAAAATTTAAGAAAAAAACTAGTTTGTTTCATTATGTGTAAAAACTTATAAATTTAGCAAAAAAAATATTATTAATTCATTTTTGTTTTTTAAGTGGCCATTTTAAGGTAAAATGAAGGCATTTTTCTGCATAGATGATAAATACTGCAAAAAAATTTCTATCGCTTAAAACAAAAAATCCTTTGGGGATTTTATTTATCTTAAAAGCAAGTGCATATACTACTGAATTAGGAATCAATGTAGTTAAAAAAGTAAATTTTTAAAAATTTTCGCAGTAGTCTTTGCAAAGAAACATGCATAAAAAATTAAATTCTTCTTTCTCTTAGTCTGTAGTTCAAAATATGAGTACTATAATCACAAACACTCATGAAAAATGGTGAACAATTATTTTAAAAAACAACATGATATGCAGTGTTTTAGGTGGTGTAAAATGTGGAGAAAAAAAATCTGATTTTGCGATAAACGCATTTAAAGACTTAAAATCACNTATGAGTACTATAATCACAAACACTCATGAAAAATGGTGAACAATTATTTTAAAAAACAACATGATATGCAGTGTTTTAGGTGGTGTAAAATGTGGAAAAAAAAATCTGATTTTGAGATAAACGCATTTAAAGACTTAAAATCATTACTCTATCCACTGTTACCACCTTGCACAAAAACTGCTAGAACTTGCTAAATAAATGGAGTACAAGAAAAGTAAAGTATTTTTAGAAAGCTAAAGATTACAAGAATTCTAAATTTATAATTAACTCAATTTCGAAAATCTGTATCCAAAATCATATTTTTGTATTAACCTTAAAGGATATAAAAAAATGACGAGGGGGGGAAAATAGTCAGATTGTAATTTATTTAAAACATTTCATTGTATTGTGCGTCGTAAAGTTATTTCAAACATTTAAGTCATCAATAGTTAAAGTGCTTTATCAGAACATTACTCTCTGATTAGTTGTTGTGGAGTTTGAGTCGAGGGAAATTTTACAGGAATCAGAAGGGCCTCCCTTAACCGATCAGTTTCAGACGCTCTCCAGCGTTGAGGTAGCGGGTTCGAATCACGCAGTAACTCTGGGTGTATCTCCGTGCTGTCCTTCTCTGAATTGTACTAGCTGTCTTTCTTTTCTACTTGACCACGGCTTATAAGAGAGCAGTGGTGGCTCAGGTGGTAGAGCCTCCCACTGAGGTGACCCAGGTTTGAATCCTAGTGATGGCTGGTCGATACGAATTCTGCACCCAGCTTGCACCGACCACATTACTGATGTGAAATATCCTCAGTGGATCATGGGTAAGTTTCTTTGCCGTATGGCTAACCATGTGATATTTTCGTGGTTTTCCTCTCCATGGAACGCAAATGTACGTTTGTTCCAACAAAAATTTCTCCACAAAGGCAAATTTCTCCCAATGCTTGATCCAGGAGTTCCCGTGTCTTCTGGTTTGGATTCAAAATAACAAGTCTACGGAATTAAACATAGGTAGTCGTAAACTCAAAATTGGGACGATATGTCAACGGCGGTTATAACATCTGTGTTTCTACTTGACAAAGGCTCATAATCTGCACTTATGTAATTGACCACACAAATTTTGCCCACTTGTGACAATTGATCCGCTTGAGGGCCGGGATAGCCTGGTCGGTAGGACGCTGGGCCCATATCCAAGAGGTCGTGGGTTCGATCCTCGCCGACCGAAGACTCCCCGTGTAGTAAATGGTGACTGATGCACGTTAAATCTGTCGAGTCTCAAAGTCCTCCATGTTCCCACAACAAATCAATACCTCTGGGGGTACTGATCCAGGAGTTTCCTTGTCTTCTGGATTGGTTCAAAATTACAAGGCTACGGAGTTGAACGTAAGTAGTCGTAAACCCAT